CTACATAGTGGTTGTTACAGTCCTTACGCTGTATGTTGTAGATGACTCCTGTTTTTTCTGCTTGGGCAACTAGCCCAATAAAAAAGAAAAAAGACCAGAACATCTCCTTACCAGCAGTCATCACCCAGATAAGCAGAGATTAACACCAAGATTATCACCAGACATAGAGTCAAACAGTAAACAATACCCTAATTGAGGAACTACCAGAGGAGGAAAAAATAAAACAAAACCCCTACCCCCACCAACACTGGCAGGGCATGCCACTGTATATAAATAGAGAGCAAATCCCATCCCATTCTAGCACTGATGATGTTACCTAGCCGGGTAACGAAACGTTTGCAAGAAAACAACCAAGCTCAGAGAACCCCAAGGACTCTACCATTCTGTGATGTTACCTAGCCGGGTAACGAAACGTTTGCAAGAAAACAACCAAGCTCAGAGAACCCCAAGGACTCTACCATTCTGTGATGTTACCTAGCCGGGTAACGAAACGTTTGCAAGAAAACAACCAAGCTCAGAGAACCCCAAGGACTCTACCATTCTGTTTTTATTCTGTTGGTTTTATTGTGCTCTGCCCAGAGTCAGTTTGGAGTTGGGTGGTGCCTAAATTGAATAAATTAAGTTAATTTCAGTCATGCTACACATTGGTAGACAGTACTAGCAAAGAATTTTTAGTATGGTTTTTAGTGTTATACAGTTAATTATAAACTGGTTTATTTCCCCAGGCAAATATGTACATGCTTGATAATGAGATTGAACACTTCTTTTATATGTATTTAAAAAAAAAAAAAGTCATCCAAAATTGGCTATCCAACCATTGTGTATTTTTCTGTGCTTTATATTTAGTGGTAGCTGAATCTAAAATCAGTCATTTTTAAAATACTTCTGTTAAAATTGGTGAGAATTTATTCACAACTATATTAATTTCAAAGGATTTGTCTGAAGTATGAGTAAGTTTGAATTCAACTCATAGATTGTGCTAGACATATTTTCACTGTTTATTACACAATTCCAAACAGCTTTTTCTTTTGTGTCTTAATATATCCTGATGGTAGAACTGCTATATATTTCTATCTGCCTCTACATCTCAGGAAGACGTCTTGCTTTGCACCCTGTTCTCCATACACCAATACGACAAAGATCCCAAACAGAGCCTTTTCCCGCAGTACTACCTGCACTGTAGGCAGGGTGTGCAAAATCACTTTTGATTTTTTATCTCCAAGTTAAACCTGATTTTATCAGGCTAATTAAAGAGTTATGCTTTTATTGTGAATTATAGTTTGGTATAACTTACCTTAGGCGTGAATATTAGAATATGGTATGTGTGTGTATCTAAATAACTATAGACAGATATATATGGTAATGTTAATTACATGTTTCTCCTGTCTGATACAAAATTATTGCAGATATACTCTTGAATAACTTTTCTCAATATAATTCAGAATGGAATCGATTTTGATTATGCTCAGTTTTATTTTTTTCATTATAAAAACAATTAGTATTTTATTAAAAAATCCTTATCTCTGGAATAATAAATAGCATTTGACTGTATGCACTAGCAGATAAAAAGTAAAAATAAAGGCTGTAAAATTAGTAATACATTTACCACTGTCTTACAACGATTATCTTAATATATTTTGCTCTGTAGTGCTATGTATATTCTGTATTTGCTGATTACATTATTATCTGGTCCTCCATATATATGGTATACTTGGCTGTCCTTTTTTTGCAATTACAGGTAGTTCATACTGTATTATCCAAATTGTACAAAAGAGATCTATTAGTATAGTAGCATTCTCATTCTTGTGTCTGCCATCAATAAAGTTAATTGAAACTTCCATTATAGTTAGCAGTTTGAATATATTTTAATCAGAAATTATTGATTTAATGTTTGCTTTAAATTGTAAAGCTTTGGAATCCTTATGCTTTCTGATATTGCTCTAATCTTTTGGTCTCAGAAAGGATGGATATCTGAACTTGTGTTTATTTTTTTTAGCAGTGTCATGCCTTTCACATTAATATTTAGGCAGAATAAACATGGTAGACTAGTCTTTTTAACAAACAGTAGTTCTGTTTGGTTTAAATTAAGAACAACTTTTCACAGCTGCTCTTATACACCCAAATAGTGCTTTTTTAAAAAATTTCTCCAGAGACTTGTCGAAATTTAGAATACTTATCTCATTATACATAGCAAGTACATACCAGAGGATTTCATCTTCTAGCATTCCCAGGACTTCCTCATTCACATGTAGATAACCCAGCTAATAGAAGTAGTAGATGTCTACAAAAGGAAGAGCATATTAGCATAATGATGAACATTATTAGATAACTGTATACCTAAGGATATATTGCTTACCTTGTCACTTCCCCTCTCCTCCTCTGGCAGCTTTCGCTTGGGACTCACCATAGTTTAGCAGTATGTCTTAACATGAATAAACTGTGGCTAATCTAATTTCATGGTCATATTTGAAGAATAGGTGGATCAAGCCTCAACTTGATTGTTTCTTCTTTTCTGCAGCTGAACTGCCACTGATTCAGATAGAATGGGTAAAACATAATATGGCCATATGTAAGATAACTTCCATACTCATACCTTGGCAGCATTTAAGACTATGGCTAATGCATAGAAGCACTGTTTGTACGAGTTAGGAATGAGTGTGGGAGAAGCAAGGATAAAAAATGGGCACAATAAAGTCAAGAATAGTTACATCTCAACTGGCCTTATGTCTTCTGCAATGCAGTCTTTGATTCGTGAACATTAAAACATGTGTTCACTGTTTTACTGCAGTGTTTATCTCCTAATACCTGCTTATCTGCTTTTTAAATGATTAATTAATAGACATTAGAAGCTGGTTCTTTCCAGTAAATGCTATATCACAATGGCATAATCTTGGGGGGAGTTATGTGGTGTATAAATACAATAACTAAATAAGTACAGATGTTTTTCTTCTATATGCCAGGGATTACTTTTTAATTGTAATTGTCAATAATCATTTGGTGCTTCTTGCAGCTTCTTGAGGGAAATTTTGCAAGAGAAGTCTCTCATGAAGTGGATGGACTAATTTTTCAGCCTATAGGAGTAAGTTGCATGAATTTGATTGTTATTGTATTAAAATCACATGATAAATATAGAAATAATTTATGATACTGAAAAATGCTTATTACTATCAAAAATATTTTACTTAAAGTGATGTCATCTATTTTTTCCTTGTTTCTGCAAAAAAAAGTAGCATGCCCTGTTAATATGAAATATTTGTAAGATTGCATATTTTTCATTACATACCTCTGATTTATAAATCATAAATATATTACATATTCTTACCTTCTTTGAAAGATTCAGTTGCTTTTGAATAAATATCTTAGAATACTATGAAAGCCCACAAACTGTCTTGTGGCACTTCAAAGATTAACCAATTTACTATAGCATAAGTTTTCATCTATCACAGTTCATTTCACTAGATATATGAAATACAGTCCTGAGAATGGGGGATACACACACACACACACAGTTTCTGTAAGGAGGAATAGTGAAAGGAAAAATGGGATTCCAAATAGAGTGTGACTTTAACAAGGCAATAGTTAAGTGCAAAGCAGAAATTCTTGCACTAGTGGTTAAGATATGTAGTACAGTAAGACCAATTAATTTCTGTTAATTTCTAAGAAATGGTGCTGAATCTTGTAATGAATTCTAGGTCAGCTCTTGCACAATGCAGTTGTTCTTTGTAATGTTCCGTTACAGGTAGTTCTTGACTTACAACCACAATAGGGACCAGAAAAATTGTCATTAAGTGAGGCATCACATGTCTGCACCTGGTTTTATGATTTTTTTTGTGGTGGTTGTTAAACTAATCACACAATCGTTAAGTGAATTATATGGTTCCCCATTGATTTTGCTTGTTGGAAGCCAGCTGGGAAGGATGCAAATGACGATTCCATGACCTTGGGATGCTGCAACCACCATAAATACATGCTGGTTGTCAAGTGCCCGAATGTTGATCACTTGACTGTGGGGACAGTGCGAGGACCAGTTGTAAGTACCCTTTTTCAGTGCCGTAATAACTTTGAATGGTCACTAAATGGATGGTTGTAAGTTGAGGACTACCTGTATGCTTACCTTGAGATCAGGAATAACTGGGCGGGGCGGAATACAAGCAGACCTCACTTAACAAGTGCCTTGGGTAGTGAGCATTCAAAGTAACTTTGCAACCAGTGCCCATATTTATGACCTTTGCAGGATCTCTCTCTCAGTCTTGTGCTCACCATCACAGTCAGTTAGTATGTGTTGGCCTGTGCCTGACCTGATGCTTTCTTCCCCGCCCCCCCCCACTGCAGAGCAGAAAGATTAATTAAACAAGCAATCTCTTCCTGAGCTGCTTTTCTCCGCAGCACAGCACTTCCCCAAGGGTGCTAACTGCAAGTCAACAAGCTTAGCTCTGTGACTTTAATTAGCCTGCTGGCAGCTTCTGCCTCTAACTGATAAGACTAATCACTTTCACACCTTTGGCTTTTGTTTGCTTCCTAAGTGGCTTGGGGGTTGGAGCTGCGAGCGCGCTAGGCAAACAGGCGACACCAGCGCATTGCTTTTGATGTGTATTCCCTATTGTGTTCCTGCTTACTCTCTTGTAATCCCTTCCTCTCCAATGAATGTAAATACAAACATTAATTCCCTTGCTAATTATCCCAGTGCTGGGTTGAGCATTCCAAAGGGTGGGGGAGTGGGAAAAAGGAAAGCTGAAGTAAAGGTGTAATCACAGTCAGGGTCATATGGTTTTCCACTTAGCAACTGCGTCACTTGGTGACTGAGTTGCTGGTCCCAATTGTGGTTGTTAAACAAGGACTACCTGTATAGCTGTTCCGCACTGAATGACTATATACAAATACTGGTTACTGTATTATTTTTGATTGTGGAAATCTTGCAGCAGATAGAGGTATAGTATTTTGTTAACAAGAAAAATAATGATGCTCATATTAATTTTTTCAGTTGCTTTCCTGAATATACAGAAAGCAGCCAACAAGTAATTCTATAGAACAAAAAGAAAAAAAGTAATATTACTTTCCTTGCTTCAAATTATAGAATTCTTCAAGAAGTTTGTTACACTAAATAATTCATTACTCATACAGGAATATGAAATATTTTTTAAAAAATTATACACTCAACCATAGAATTAATTACAATTTGAAGTTAATGTCAATTTATTTTATTACCTCCAAGGCTTTGTTATAATGCCAGTTTATAGTACTCCAAAAGAAAAATCCTTAGGCTCTAAAGGTTGCATTTTTGTGGAATCACTCCACTTATAAAACACTGTTTTATTGATTACGTGGATCATTTTTGATCTCCCCTTGCAGTTCTGGCAGTTTTAATCTGTTCCAAAGAGTTGGAGTATTCTTTGGAAACACATGACATCTAGCTATGATGGCAAATTATCACAAATCATATTCCTACCTGTTCCACTGATCGGAGCATCCTATCAGCAGAATGATATGTGTTGGATTCATATTAGTGACTTATAACCCAATGACTGGTTTTGCTCACTGTTTCAGAAATTTCACTGAGAGATTCTGTAGCATGGAGAGAGGAATATATTAGCTTTTGTGTAGAGTCTTTGTTCAAAATGCAAATGTTCAATAGGGATGCATAATTATGTATGCATTCTTTATAAATCTTGGTGTAAAATTGTATTGAGTTAATGGTAGATTTTTACTCTTAAAGTTACATTTTTCTTAAGATTGCAGATAAACATATTCATCAAATCTGGGAGTGGTTATTTTAGCCTGTGTTTCATTTTTTATTCAAATGGATATTCACAAAATATTTTCTACTTTTTAAATTGTATCAGTCTGGCCAAACAATAATGTATAACGTTTAGAGAAAAATAACTAGGTTAATTCCTTGAAAATTGTAAGTTTTGGTGGGATAGCTTTTCAGCTTACTGAGACTATCTGATCCTTAAGCAAGCAGTTTCAGTGAATTTGATTTATCCCTAGTATAGAAGTGATCTTGACTTCCCCTTAATAAAGCTTTCCCCAAATGATTTCTTACTGCCTGTAGCACTAGATTAAAATTAAGTAAATTCAGTTGAGCATCCAAGAGCAGTGTTTATCCATAACTTTCTGATTTTGCATAGGTTAATTTTTATCTTTGATTATTTTGTTTTAGTGACAAAAGATTTTTCTTTGAAAGTATAAATCAACTAATGCTGTAGAAAACATACAGTTTAGTTTTTTAAAGCATCTTCTTGATCTACATCACAGATGAAATTGGAAAACGGCAGTGCAAAAAAAGAAAAATTTGAAAAGAAAATTATTCATTCTCAGGAGGAAATAAAATTACTGCCAGTTAAAGGCATAAAGTTACCTTTATGCCACAGATATTTTATAATATCTTTTAATGTACTCTCAGTGTGCTGGATTCCATAATGGCTTGTTAATTTTATACATCATTCTAGTTGAAATAGACAAAATCTCTCACTATATAATATTGTATAAGTACACTTCAGATCATGCTGGTTAATAATAATCTGTTAAATAGTTTCAAATATTATGTTTTGTATTGTACCACATAAGCAATTTTCCTTAAACCATGTCCTAGGGTATAATTGCTGATCTCTATTTCTTGGTGCTGTATGATTTTAAAGAAAAACTATTATGTGAGCCTGCACAAGAATTTTCAATAAAGCTAATTAGAAACTCTGTATGCGAGCTAAGACTTGCTTACCATGATTAGAAATAGATTTCCTAGTATCATGATAATTTGATGTAGATATCTTTGTAATACTCACTCTCTGCAATCAGTATGACCGGTGTTATTTCCTAAGAAATCTGCTTGAGGAATAAAAGAAGGTAATCAAATGCCTACATTGCAAATGGGACACAAAGTTTTTGCATTGTAAGCAGAAGTAGACAAATCATAAATATTCCCAAGGAATATATAAATGTATTGCTAATTAGATTTGAGAAGCAGTTCTAGGACATAAATAAATGAATATACAACATCCTATCTTTGCTATCCATAAAAATAATTGTAAATCACAAGGAAAAAATCGAGAATGATTCTGTCAAAAAGTTTTTTTTAAAAAAAAGAATATCGATAAAAACTTCATGTTAGTGCTTCCCAGCACATCCTGAACCATGACATCTGTAATATAGTTTTTAGTCATTGTTTGATGCATTTATAACTTGCTTAAATATTTTCTTTTTTCTCTCAAAACTCTCAGTGATGCGTTATTAGCATTGTCTCATTGTTGTGGAAACAGTACATCTCCAAATGTCATTCATTTCCAAGAAAAGTGCTACTGTATGCTTAAAAGCTGCCGCTAATTAAGTAATCCATTTTTAGTTTTTTGTTTTATAGCTCTCTCGGTAAGTAGAGCACTCAGCCATAAAGGGGTTTTTGCTTAAAAGCTTGAAAATCTTATTTTTTTTCTGGAAGACTTTGACCTGTAGTCACAGTATATGAAATGAAATTCATGATCTTTGCTTGAGATGCAGCAAAACTGAAATACTAATGCACACAGTAGAAGAATTGGCTAGCAGGTCTCATGGCCCCTTCCATAGGTATGGATGCCTGCCTTCTACTTTTGGCCCTAATCTTTGAAGCTTATTTAAAAACTGTGATATATACTTGTAAGTTTAGACACTGTAAATATTAGTTGAAGTAGGTACCAACATAAGCATCCCCCATAGTAATAGCTAGCTGCAGAAAACGCACTCAGCAAACACAGCATGCAATTCTGAAACCATGCCCCTTAATCTTAGCTGAAGGGTGAGCATTGTATGCTGATCTTTTGTCACAAAGAACACCACAAATTCTCAGCTGTTTGAGGTACTAGATGACATTGAGTAATTTTGTGCAATAACCTCCCCCTCCTCCTCAGTACATGGTACCAGATTGTCAATAATCTCACGAGATTGTCAATAATTGCCAAATTCTGTGTTCTTTAATTTCCTGTTCCTATGTCCCAAATTTTTTTAAAAGTTTATATAATACCCAACAATACTGTCTGCATGCAGTTTAAATTTGGGTTCTTAAAGTATTGAATAAAAAAACAAAACAAAACTTTGAGATGCTGTTGGAAG